AACCAGCAAGTCAAAAACCAAGTCACAGGTAAACCAGACTTGCCTAAATAAAACAAAGAGCTTCACTTTCTTCAAATTCTGAATCCCATGGACATTCCACCACATCAACCCCTATACTTTGTCATTGCAAGGAATGTGCTATATTGGTAGCAACACCAGTATCAATATTGGGCATATACAGCCCATATGTAATAAGAATGATCAGGTTGCCTTGGAAAAAAAAAAACAAACCCCACACACAGTAATACAAATCAGTACACTGTAAAGAAACACACCAAAAATCCACAAGGAATATACCGAACACAGCAAAAAGAACAGCGGCATAATGGAGCAATTACAGGCTTGTGTCAACAAAAGAGCCTGAAATGATCATGAACAGAGCGGAGCGCAGACACCGTCATGAATGAGACGTGCAATATTACATAGTAATTACCCAGCCTGCAAATGCTGGAGAATAATATGCAACGTTAGGTGCGCCCGCACCGGTGATGGGAAGCTCAGCGTGAAGCGAGGCAGATATCAGTATTCATGAATAATCAGGATTACTCTGCGTTAGAGTAGAAATTATTTACCTATGGTTTTTTTAAAAGCCATGTGACAGCCCTACTATCGCATTGATGTGCAATTATACACAGCGCAGGTAGCTAAAGAGCCCAGGCAAAAAGTGAAAGCAATCAGCGAGCGCCTAACCGGAGCCAGCAAACAGTGTAGTTGTGCTAAATCAAGAGTCAACTTCGCCTGCCTATAAAGAGAAAAAAAAAATACTTACTGCCTTCGCAGCAGTTCATTCCACCACTAGATGTCCTCAGTCTTCAAGGTTAAATGACAGCCTGGAAGGCTGAGTACATACTGTAAGTGCAGGGCGTCATGGACCTGCCCCCCGAATGGCCACCTGAAGAAGCTTCACATTGCAGATGCCCGACTCCCCCAATGTTTTCCATGGTTCCTTATACTCACTCCCTACATCACTGGGCCCTGTAGGGGTTGGCGAGATGAACCATAGACTGCACTTGGGAACCAGGCATCCAACACACCCAGAAGTGTCCAATGTGAAGACTCTTTAGGGGGACATAAGACATGAGGAATGACATGTAACCTGAAGACATGAGGAACGGGGGGAGAGGCAGGAGAATATGGGCCGATGTGGGTTTGTCAGATGCCTGCACGGCCCCGTTTGCCATGGTTCTTTCTACTGACTCTCTACGTCACTGCTGTGCCCCGAAGTGACGTAGGGGCAGGCGAGATGAAACACGGATGGCACTTGGGAACCAGGCATCCAAACACCTAGAAGAGTCCAACGTGAAGACTCTTGCCATACATCTCTTGAGAACTGAGGAAGGGGTGGTGGGACAGGCGAGTATGGGCCAATGTGGACTTTGGGACTGTGTTGATGGCATCAGCATGCAGCTCTGCTTGAATTACATTCATGAGTTCAACATATTTTCATTTTATGTACAATTTCTTGTTTTCTACTTCCTGGTCCATTTTGGCAAACTTGATGTAATCGTGCCCAAGCATTGCATCCTGGGAAGGTTACATCAGCAGGGCATTGCTGGGAAACCTCATTTGTAATCTCAGTGGCATAGTGGTTAGCACTTTTGCATTTTAGGGCTGGGGGTCCTTGGGTCACATCCCGGTCAGCACACTATCTGCCAGGAGTTTGCATGTTCTCCCTGTGCTTGCCTGGGTTTCCTCCGGGTACGCTTGTTTCCTCCCACACTCCGAAGACATGCTGGAAGGTTAATTGGCTTCTGTCCAAGGCTGGGTTCACACCTAGGCGTATAGAATATGCGCATTTCGTGCCACATGTTTTTACCGCGATTCGCGGTAAAAAGAATGCGTTTCCCAGGGCTATCCGGCTGTATCCCAATGGATACGCGCGGCAAATCCCAAAGAAGCTCTTGTACTTCTTTGGGCGTAGGGCGTTTTGCAGCACGTTCCTACGCGCTGTAAAACGCCCAGGTGGGAACCATGCCCATAGGCAATCATTGGTTTTCACATGTTGAGCGTTTTACGGAGCGTAGGAACGCGCTGTAAAACGCCCAGGTGTGAACCAGGCCTTAATTGTATGTATGCATGTGAAATAGGGACCCTAGATTGTAAGCTACTTGAGGGCAGGGACTGATGTGAATGTGTAGCGCTCCGTAAAGTGTCTGCGCTATATAAATACCTGTAATAAAATAGAAATAATCTCAGGGAAAGGAATTTTCCTCCCCCGAGATGATGTGCATGGTCACATGTCCTAGTCACATGTGCTAGAGTTCCAGGAAGTAAAAGGAGATGAATTCATGTGCCCTAAAAGAGCCGGGCAATGATCTATAAGTATCGGTTTGTAGATTGTCATTACTAAACATTTCTAAGGGCCCAGTCACACAATATCCAGTGCGTTCCGAGCCTGGAACGCATAGATAAGGCCGGGTCACTTCTGGGGCGGGACGGTGTCATTCATGTCTATGGCACCGCAGGCCCGCACCGGAACGTGAGGTACAAGAATGCCCTCCATCCCACTGCAGTGCGATTGTAAAAAAAGTGCTGCATGCACTACTTTCTCCGATTGCACTGCAGTGGGATGAAGGGCATTCTTGTACCCCGCGTTCCGATGAGGGTGATCGCAATGCAGTCGGGGACCGTGCCTGCAGTGTCATTGACATGAACGGCACTGCCCCTGCCCGGCCTGATCTACACGATCCAGTGCGTTCCGGGCTCAGACCACACCGGGCCGCACTGGATATGGTGCGACTGGGCCGTCAAGGTGAATGTGTTGTTATTTTGAAGATGTGGGTAAAGTTCCTCTTTAAGCTCACTATAGCAAGCTACAAGCTCACTGGATTTCTGGCAGGATCAACAGGTACTTTTTAGCACTTCTAGATATACCACAAAGCCTTCAATTGTATATTTAACAGAACAAAAGGGAGCAAATAAGAGAAGTTCATTGTCAGGGGGTTGCGTACACTTTGATCTGAAGTCCAGTAGGACTTTTTTTTTTTTATAAAACAATAGCACCCATATTGCAGATAAAAGGTGATGATGTCACAGCCCGGGGTGACAATATGTTCATCGGGGACTGAACTGGAACGTAGCCGCTGTCTGCAGAGACAAAAGCAAAGCATCAGCTCCCCTGGTAACAGAGCCGTGCCGGGAAAAGCCACAACAAGGCCATTATCAGCAACATAAACAATCCACACCCAGCACTCCGCACCGACCAAACAAACCCGGCCAGGCAGACCGCTACTTAATAGGATTGCACACTGTTTAATTATAGGCCAGCCAGCTAAAGCCCGCCATTCACTGGGATCAGCTTACTGTTTGCTACATGATAACCGAATATAAAGAACAAACTTTCATTTCACCAGCACGAGTGTCAATCTAAATCCACAAACAATCAGCACAGAGCCGATTTAAAGCAGAACTCCGGGCAAACATCACAGCTGAAATACAAACATACCAGGTCCCCGTTCACACCATCACGTACCGGGTACGCGAATCACAGTGACAGGCATTCGTGGGCGTATTTGTCCCACATTTGTCACGCGTCCCCCATTGATTTCAATGGGTTCCTGCATGCTTGACTAAAGCAGGAAAAAAAAAATGTATGTAGATTTTGCGACATGCGTTCCACATTTTTATGCATGTGTCCCAGCCACATTCACGTGTAGGCGTTCTGTGGACACGCACCAAAAAAAAAAAAAAAAAAAGGGGTTTTTGACGTCTGTTCGTAGAAGGTGAAAAAAGTCCTTAAC